GTTAAGTACTCGACTGCTAGCAGCAAGGTTGGTGGACGGAACCAACACAGAGGTGCTTTGCAAGTCGGGCCTGCTGATCTGCGTCTGAAAGTTGTCAGCCACTGAAAACCCCATGGAGCAGTTCTACTCTGCACGCATGGAGTCCCAAGAGTCAGAATCGACTCGAAGGCAACTAACGCCAACAATGAAGCGTTTTCATAAAATCCTGATGATGGTACTAACAGAAGGGGAATTTGTGGAAAGCATTCAGAACATTCTGTATTGTTCCACAGACATGAGCATCTGAGCATCTGAGTAGAGGGGGAAGAGAACGTGAAATCAGAACTTCTGGTGTCACTTGTATTTTGCCATCCACGATTTCACCTACTCTGAAAACAATACTTTCAGGCCTTGCTGGGGTTGTGCCATTTCTAATATCTTTTCCTTCAATGAAAACAAAACAAAACATTCAAGTACTTTATAACACAAGAAAAAGGTGTCTCCTGGCATTGGACCCAAGAGAACATTTTTTGATTGTCAGTTTTTGCCTTGAATTCCAAGTCTCTGCTAGTCCAGTACAACTACAAATAAAGTGTGTCTTATCAGTGTTTGGTGTTAAAGCTGAATATAATTTCAAAATGCCAGATGACTTTGAGGCATCAACTTCTTACATTTCAAGAATGTACAAATTCATGATAGGACTCTGTGAACTCTGGTTCTACAGTCATTGTCATGGAAACCAAGATTTTCCATAATTATCTTAATGAGTAATTACCTTTATCACTTCCCAGAGTACAAGCCTGTTAGGGATCTATTTCTTAAGTTTAAGCCCATGCCCTTTAATTGAACCGCATATTCAACTTCTTTTCCTTAGCATTCTTTCTATGCTTGTCTATATAAACTGAGGAGCACAATTGAGGGTAAATCCGACTAAGAGTATCTTTTACTACTTCTTTGAGTGTTTTAAGTTTGGTGGCCTTCGTAATCAATACTTGAGGTTATCGAATATTAAGATTAAAACCACAGGATCCCACATTCTCTTTATCTTAACCTAAACAACTTGTCAACCCGGAAGGTTGACCTAATTGTCCACAAAAATTACCGTTAGTGTGAAAAGTGATTTTTTATTATGGATGAGATGATACCTTAGATACATAATCCAGGAACATTTCTCATGAAGGTGTTGGCTGGGGGCTCTGATGGCCTGAATTGACGTTGAAATTGCAGAGACTCTTAGATGTTATGCCAGTTCATTGACACAGCATATCAAGGACATCGAGCTTCCTGCGGATGTTGACTGAAAGACCTTGTACAAAAATGTAAAACGAATTTACAAGAATATTCCAGAGAAAGGAGTTCATGGCAGACTCATTCTCACAGTGATTTCACATGCTCCTAGCTCCATCTCAAGCCTCTGTTGCAATAATCACAGCTCTGTGATAACTATTTACAGCCCACACATTGCCAGACACTACTCTTTTCTGATTATAGGTCTGTATTTGCTTTTTTCAAATTTAAATAATTTGTGGCTCTTATCCAAGTATCTGGGTAACATTGTACTTCACATTGACAAGCAAAAGAATAGGCTGCAATGATGGTGGAAGACATGAAGGCTGTCGAGAATCAGATTGTTGGAGGAAGTAGATTGCTTCTAGTCAGTAAAATAATCTTACTTAATGGGGTGGAGTCTAAAGACTTGTCTTATCTTTTCCCATCTATATCACTCACGTTTTTACTTTGCCATTGTTTCCCTATTGCCTAGCACCATAGGCCCTTGGTAAATATTTTTTGAGTAAATGAATGTGTTGAAGACATTTTTCAAAATATAAAAGTATACTTTGGATGTAGTTATAATCTGTCTAAATCTCTCCTCTGATTTTAACTGGACACATTAATTTTTTCCTGAGACTTATGAAGCTAGAGATTACTGGGCCTGTGCATACAATGTTTGTGTGGACATGGGTCAGTGTGGTGTCTCCATGTTTATTAACAGTGAAGTTGATCCTCCCAGAGTAACTAGATAACAGTAGAATTATTGTAAGTACCTTTCAGATTTATGTAGCATTGATTTTTTTTCAGCTGCATAAACTATGAATTCACTAGAGTTATTGGCAACCAATAACTTTATTTGCCTTATGCTGAAAGAGTCATTTTGTATTTCTTTACGTATTACATTGCTTGCATGCTTATTGCTCTCTTAAACCATTTCCAAAGACATTTTTACATTTTTAGTGTTTAAAATTTTTTTATAGTCCTTTCCGTTTGCTGGTTCCCATAATTTATTTAATTAAATACCATTTTCTTGCAAACAGCCCATATATTTAATGATAAAATACTCAAGCTATCGAGGATGTATGTGGCAAAAATGAAGACATTGGCTAGCATTAGTTTTATTTAACACTGCTCTGGGAATACTGGCCAGTGCAATAAGATACGAAAAGCAATAAAACATAGCTATTGGGAGATGTGGCAATAAAGTATTATCAGTTTAAGCCATAAGCTTGCTTACTTCAGTTTTTCAGGTGGAAAACACAAACAAAACAATATAAATAGAGTTCAGTATAGAGCAGTGTTTCTCTAAATGTGTTTCCTGAGACCCTTTCAGAGATTCGATGAGGTCAGAGCTGTCTTCTTGATAATACTAAGATGTTTTTGCCTTTTCCACTCTCAATGTCTCTTGGGTGTACAGTGGAATTTTCCAGAGGCTACACGATATGATATTGAAACAGATTGATGCACTAATGTGTATGAGAATCTTGCTGTCTTGTATTAAGCCAGATATTAAAGATATTTACAAAATTATAAAACAGTGCCTCTCCTCTCACCACATATTTTGTTTGTTTTGGAAGATGTAATTATTTTTCATAAAAGTAGATTATTTGTGTTAAAACATAATGGATTTATTTTTATTTTAACATGAATTATTACTAATTATTAAAAATTATTATAAATTCAAACAAATACAATAAATATCAGTAGTTATAACCTACATAGGAGCCCTGGTGGTGCAGTGGTTAAGAGCTTGGCTGCTAACCAACAGATCGGCTGTTCAAATCTACCAGCTGCTCCTTGGAAACCCTATGGGGCAGTTCTACTCTGTCCTATAGGGTCGCTGTGAGTTAAAATTGATTTGACAGCAATGGGTTTACAGATTATAACCTCCATAAACAAAAGCTCTTTGAGGTCGTCAGTAATTTTTAAGACTATAAAGAGGTTTTGAGATGAAAAGTTTGAGAATTGCTGGTACAGAGAATGGGCAATATATACTTACCTAAACCCCAACAATAACCAGTTATAATTGAAAATGGAAGAAATACATTACCTAAGATAGCCTTACAGACCTATATGAAATACGTAATAATGCTCTATTTTGGGATGTTAAAGAGGACTCAACACATGGAGATTCATACAGTGTGCCTTCATGGGAAGTTTGACTATTGTAATGGTGTTCATTTTTCTTAATTTATAGATTTCACATAATTTCCACCAATGGAAATATATTAAACCTGTGGAAATGAAAATTTCCATAAAATTTAGCTAAGTGGCAGTAATGGCTTCTGTTCCTTGGCTCCTTGGTTATCTTCACATGGCATGGCATCTGTCTTCCCCCTCCTCTCTGCTTCTTTGCTTCCTTGCTTAATCTGCCCCGTTTATACCTCAGAAGAGATTGACTGAAGACGCACCCTACGCTAATAGTCTCATTAACGTAACAAAGAAAACCCACTCTCAAATGAGATTATATAGGGGTTAGGATTTACAGCATGTATTTTTGGGGGACACGGTTCAATCCTTAACAATGCCTTTCTATATTTTCCTAATTTTTTTTTTTTTTTTTTTTACTATCAGCATACAATTCAATGAAATTTACACCCAGCTATTGAAGATTTAATTTATCGATTAAGACAAATAAACATATTGTAATAGCTTTGAAGTGAGATTTTTCTGCTACTCTTCACCTCTGATTGCCTCTCTTTCCATCTGACAGTTACTTCCTGGGGTGGCACCTCCAATTTCAGAGTGTTTATTCACCATTTGCCAATGAGCTATGTAACTTTAAACAAGCCACTGTACCTCTCTTGATCTTTAATTTCCTTATCTATCAGATGAAGATCATTCCAATAATAAATTCTGAAAATCAAGTGGTAAAGATTCCTAAAACTCTGTTTTCAACAGAAACATCTTCTCCCACAATCTGTATCTCTCTTTTCTACGACACTTTTTTTTCCCTAAGATATTCTTTTCTTATATTTTGTGCTTTCCAGCCTCCCACCACCCACCCAAAGTCTGATGATCTGATCCCCTTGGTAAAATTGTGTAATCCTCAGAGAAGACATTACAAGGTCACCTTTCTGTCTATTTCCCAGTACCTCCTAAGGCAGCCTCTAGATAAATGTTATTGTCTGATTGTCAGCTAAAGGTCTTGGGAGAGTCTCATCATCATAGACTAGAGAACTGTAGAGAGTCTAAGAATCTGGGCAGAAATGGACTGAGTTAACCTTGATACTGAATTTCTGTTGCTTTTGCTTTTTCATCCTAGCCTATTTTACTAGACCTTATTGATATATATCTTTACAGTCCAATACAACCCAGGCTTGGATGTATATGTTTAAAATTTGAAATATTTTTTGTTTTTTTGATGAAGCTACTATTTATTAATTAAAACTTAGTTTGCTGTCTGCAGTTTTAACTCCGTGGTGCTAACCAGAGAATACTTGTTATATTTAGCTGTTAATTCGATTAGGTCACTAACTATGTTAGTGGGTGATGATATGAATACATATTGGTACAACACTGTAATCTTTATGTGGCCCCATCCATTGATATAAAATACGATTTTCTTATAATTTAACTGTTACTAAATCCTTGGTATAAAATTTTAATGTATATTGTATTCTTTAAATGGAAGAGCTAAACTTTAGTACCAATTCTGTTTGCGTGGTCACTTCTGGGGTGGAATAAATTGCTGTTTGATGCTTCCGTGTGATTCCTGTGTACTGATGAATTTCTTTTTAAACTTGCAGCAAATAGTGGCAGCAATAAATGCAGGGATTGTCCCTTTAGGAAACGCCTCCAATCAAATCAGTCACTGGGATTTGGGGAGTTCCTTCTTCTTTGCTGGCACTGTTATTACAACCATCGGTAGGAGACAACTTATTTTGTTTTTTATTTTAGTAAAGTTTGTGAGCTAAAATTCGTTTGTTTGATTTTTTTTTTTTTGTCTTTTACAGTTGGTCAAAATGGTCTACTTAAGCTAGAAAACTAGATTTTAGTAAATTGATTTTGCAGTGGGGTTTTAAAGGCTTGAACAAAGGAATGATGGAAATGAATTTGTTGTTTCAGAATACTTAGTTAAATTTAAAATAAATGTGAACCTCTAGAGCAGCGCAGTCGAGTTGTTTGATGATCAGAACGTCAAGAAACGGCTTGAAGCAGACACTTTTCTGGGCAAGTGGTTTTTAATTTTGCTGCATCTTTGATTCTTTAGTGCAGCAGGAAAGGGTTTGAGTATAATTTTAGTATCTCTTTCATGAAGTTTGCATTTGATGCCATCTTTTTCAGTTTGTAAATTTTAACTCCACATTTCACAGGCTGCGCCTATTCTTGTGTGCTTGTGTCTCGTGATTACTTGAGGTCTTGCCTTTTATTCACTGTATTTTTCCAATAGCACAAATACATGAAAATATTAACACTGAAATGTGAGGATGAGAAAAAAAAAAGGAATAAAAGCTTAGGCCCTTGCTGTTTTGCCTTTTAATCACTTTGTTTGTTATAAAGTTAAAAAGGGTCACAAATGGAATATGGTCTTGTTTTTATGTTCACCGTGCATACGCCCGGCACCTTCTAGGGAGCAGAATGGGGGCAAGTTGATGTCCTCTGTCCATTAGCCAGTCCTTCGGTGCCCAAGAGCGCCTCAGAGGATGTAAACGCAGATCCTTAGTTAAAAGCCACGCTTCCAGTGCCGTGGGGTTGGGAAGGGTTACAGTTGTCCTAAGGAGACCTGGTGGCTCATGGTGGCACAAATGGTTACGCGCTCAACTGCTAACTGAAACTTTGGCAGTTTGAACCCACCCAGCCAGTCTATAGGAGAAAGACCTGGCGATCTGCTCCCATAAAGATTACAGCCTAGAAAACTCTAAAGGGCAGTTCACCTCTGTCACGTGGGGTCAGTATGAGTCAGAATTGACTCCGTGGCTCCTGACAGCAACAAAAACACAGCTGCTCTGCCCCATGAATGGAGGTGAGTTTAAAGTGTTCCTCTTAAGAAATGGGAGGAAACTGCCTCATCACAGTTAGGAAGGAATTTCAGGTGGCGGGAAGATACGTGCAAAGGGGAGCTCTTCTCCTCGGCGTAAGCTTGGGGTGAGATGTCCTCTCACAGGTCTGATTTCTGGTCACGGGAAATGAATTAGTGTCCTAAAGGTTCAATTTTATTCTTCAGTATCACTGATAATTATGAAATGCGTAGTTTTCAGATCCGTCCTTTATATCAAAGTCTTAAGTAGAAGAATATGGACAATTTATGGATGGAATAGCATTTGAAAGTCTTCCTGTGAAAGGAATTTTAGTGTCCCATCATTATATAAATTTGCTGTGGTGCTTCTTTGTGCTGGATCACTTGCCAGTGAAATACCTTAACTTGTTGATTTTGCCTCAGTTAAGAGGTCAAGGAATTGTGTTTACTCTGATATTTCCATCGGCTACGTCAGAAATTGTGTGGCTGTGAAAATTTGGAAGAATGGCAGCCTTGATTTCTAACCATAATAACAGGTTAACTTTGGGGCTTAGACATCTTGGCCATTTCTATTATGGAAATGACTATTTATTGTGTAAACTACTTAGAGTCTGGAAGGAAAAAAAAAGCTCACAGACTGAGTGAGAATGGTTTGTTTCTGCCCAATGAAAACTCACAAGTCCAAGTTATAACTCATCATGGCCACCACTAAATTATCTTGCAGGAGACTCAGTCATTACACAGACTTACCGTTGCATTGTATGTTTATAAACAGTCTCATTTTTCTGAATTCCCAAATTCAGTAACTTTTGCAGACATATACTTCAATGCATGAAAAAAACAAAGCCATTATTACCAGCTTTCCCCCAAATTACAGCCATTAAGCACAGTAGCAGATGATTTAGTTGCTTAGGTAGTCAGCTGCCTGAAAGCCCAGATCTGTTACTGTTCCATCTGTGGCTTTAGCCTCTGGTGGAGTCAGTCATTCTGGGTCACCCACATGGGGACCTCTTACGCTGGGTTCTTTTACTCCTGTATCAAGGCCATCTCCTGACTTTGGACGAGCTCATGGTCTAGAACAGGGTACAATACTTAGCCTCTTTCATAAATGTTTATTTGCCATCCTAATCATCATTCTATAAAATACAAAGTATAATTATTAAGATTACTACTACTAATAACTGTGTAAGCTTTGAGGTGGTCTGTAGCAGTCATAGAAATGGAAAGTTCCAGCACTAGCGACACTGCATTAGTTATTTAAAAATAGAACTTCAGAAAGGTTTGGAAAAATAATTGCAGTGGCTTTTATAGGGTGTGTCGTAGAGGCAGTGCTTCCCGGAGCTGGATTGGTTGCAGTTTTTCAAGGCTTATCTCTTCAGTTTTATAGATTTGTCTGTGAAGCCAAAGCGGCCTTTACATTCAGTGGAAATAGGCCCAAGGTAGATTTGGTTAGAGAAGATAGTCAGAATATTAAAATTTAAGACCTAATTTCAGAGACTCTCTTCATAGCCCTACAAATTCTTCCCAAAATCATACCCTCCGTACCCTTCCCAAATTCCGTTCTACACTTGAACAGACTGAAACCCATCCTTGACTGTTCTCTTTCTTTCAAGAATACATGACTTCTAGTCCATCAGCCAATCCTGTTGGCTCTGCCTTTAAAATAGATCCAGAACTTAACTACTGCTCGCCCATTCAAACTGTCGCCATTTTGGTTCACGCCAGCATCATCTCATGTCAGGATCATTGCATAAATCTTCTGCTCAGAACTCTGAGCAGGACTCAGTTGGCACAAAAGCCAGCTCCACAACTTGTCTCTCCTAGAAAGATACACGTTCTGTGAGGTTTGGGTTTTTGCTATATTCTCAATGCCTGACATATAGTGGGTGCTTAATAAACATTTTCTTGGGAATTAAAAATAAATAGCCATTCTAAATGGTACGAACTGTGGCTTATTGGAAATGACATAATACTAAATTGATACCTGTGATACTATATTCTTAGCTCTTTCAGCAGATTACATTACTAAATTTTTTTGTTTGTTCACTTATTTTTCAACAAATATAAAATACTATGTATCTGCCAATGTAATGATAAAAGATGTGTACCTTGACGCTAAGTTGCTCACAGACCAAATGGGGAGACTAACGGGCAAGCAACCCTTTACAACACAGTGTGCCACGCGCTATGGGTTAAGAGCGTTTAATGGGAACGTATAGGAAGGACAGTTCACACGGATATTGAGGTGGTGGGTGGGTGAGGAAGGGGCAAGAAATGCTTCCTTTTCCTTAGTAAGTATTGTCTCAGTGGAGACTGGAAAAAGACTTAGGAATTTAGCAGGTGGATGAAGGTGGAAAGGAAGTACTCCAGGCATCAGGAGCACATGTGGGAAAGCTAAAGGGTAAGAGACAGACCAGCCTGTTTGGGAGTTGCATGTCATCTAGACGGTTGTTTGTAGTTGAAGGCATTCATCCTCAGGTCATTGTAGAGCTAGTCAACTTGTGTGGCTCCTGGCGGATCAGCGCTAGTTCTAACAACCGCCAGGAGTATAAGGAAAGAAGGACACAGACCCTACGTACAGTCAGATTTGGGAGACAGAATTTACACACAGGAAATAACTGAAGAATAACGGAAGGAGGCCGCATATCGTCACGTGGCCCGTGAAACAGTGAAGGTTTAAGTGCTGTAGGAATACAGACAAAAGGAAGAACAGGATGAGCTGGAACGGGGAGGAAAGCCTTAACGGGAGAAGTTGAACTTGAGCTATATTTTAAAGAAAATGTATTGGTTTAGATTGATGGGGGCGGGAGGGAGGTGTAAAAAGCCTTCCAGTCTGTGGCATGGGCAAACAAAAGTACAGAGAGGAGTGAGTTGATTGACTTGGGGGCTACAGAGTAAGTATTTGATTGGACCAGAGGAATTGTTTAAGGAAGTAGTGGGAAATATTGCTGACTGATGTAGATGGGAAGAGTACAGTTTAATGTAATACAGTTTTAGAGGGTTTTGGAACTACTATGATGGGACAGAATGTGGGTTTTTGGAAAGGGAAGCGACAGGTTAAAGTGATGTTGGAAGATGCACCCGTCAGTAAGAGGAGAAATGGGGCCTGGCAGTTGCGAGAGCAATTAGGAGGATATTGCAGCCAGTTACAATGCAGCGTGCTGGGCAGGAGGGATGAGAGTATCTACTGGGATGATTGGAGTTGGTGTGGAAAGATGAATGTAAGAAAAAATGTTGAAATGTTTAGGTGCTGGAATCCACAGGCCTTGGCCATGAGTAAGGTCCCTGGGTGGTATGAGTGGTTTGCAGTCAGCTACTAACCTACAAGTTGGAGGTTTGAATCCACCCAGAAGTGCCATGGAAGAAAGTCCTGGCGATCTGCTTCTGTAAAAATTATGGCCAAGAAAACTCTATGGAGCAGTTCTACTCTGTAACACATGGGATCACCATAAGGTGAATCAACTCGACGGCAATAGGCTTTTTTTTTTTTTTTTGG